TCTAACGTCAGAAGGGCAGACACTGCTTCTGCAGAGTGATGTCTTTCAAGTATTTGGTGGCTTTCCGGATATGCACGCCTTTGATGGCCTGGGCAGTTTCACGGGTGTTCTTGAAGTGGACCCGCAGATTCGACCCCCTTGATTTCCAGGCTTCTGCAGGGTTTTCTGGGTCAAATGAGTAGCGAACCATTTTGGCAGGTCACCTCAGGCTGCTCCAGTTAGAGGAAGAGCGGTGGGTTCTGGGAAAATTCATAGTCACTCAACTTCTAGGCCCTAATCTTTAATTAAGAGTGTTCTCCAATATCTCTCTTCCTTTTCAGTTGTCCCAATGTTTTACACAAAGATTTCCACTGTCTCCTCAAAATTTCTATTCAAGTTCCAAAAAGGGCCGTCATAGTCCCTATAGTCTAATATAGTCCCTGACTTTTTCTTGACTTCACTGTGAAGTACCTGTTTGCACAGACAAAAAGGCCTTTAAGGTGAAGAATGAATTTCACAAGTATTTCAATGGCTGTTTACGATGGAATGCCGTTGGTGTTGGGTAACATGAAGCTGCTTTCTACTCATAGTGACGCTCTGAGACAGAGCAGGCCTGTCCCAGAGCTTTGGGTGGACGGTCATCTTTACAGGAGCAGATGACCATGTCTTTTTCCCAGCAAGCATCTGGGTCCCAACCACTGACCTTTCAGCTGGAACCTTGGCACTTAAGCCCTCACTGTGCCCCCCACAGGCTCCTCTGTTGTTACTGGCACCTGTCCTCGACCTCATGTGGGCAGAGTAGAACTGCTGTTCAGGGTTGTCAAACCCATGACCTCTCAGAAGCAGGTCTTCAGGCCTATTTTCCAAGGCGCCTCTAGACCGGTTCAAACCGCCAACCTTACCATCAGCAATCTAGTGCTTAACCATTTGCACCACCGAAGGATGGTCTCTACCATTAGGTGGATCCCAAACTTATCTAGCCTACCTTTCAGAAAAAAAAAATTTACTCAGGGTACTAAAAAACTTTTGTACTATCACCCATAATCCAGGATAAAGTATAGCTACGTGATTTTGCAGCCCCCAGGAACATTCTGGCACTGCCCCCCAGGGGGTGGTATCTCCCACTTCGGGAAACACTGGTATACTCTAAACTCGCTGCCATCCAGTCAGTGACTCAGAGGGACACTGCAGGACAAAGTAGACCTGCCCCTGAGTGTCTGAGACTGTCAACTGTTAACAGGAGTCGTGCTGCTCTCTGTTAAAGTAGCTGGTGGTTTCAAACTGCTGACCTTGCAGCTCGCACGCAGCCCAATGAATAACCACTATGCCACCAGGGCTCTTGGTATACTCTAAATGCACTTAAAAATCTGCTGATAGTAATGAAATGACATGAGGTCGAGGCACTTGAATACAGGAGAGCACAGCTCTTTTCTACAGTATTCTGACATGAACTCCAAATACAAGTAAACAAAATGGTTGTTTTACGTGGATGAGTGGGCTTCCAAAAGCGTGTGGAAAATGGAATTAAAGTGAAGGCCCCTCAGACGTTTCCCCATTACTGAGAGGTGGTAACCTTTCCCACATATGCCTGGCACACAGAAGGTGCTCAAGAGGAACTTCTGGCTGTTAGTTCAATCCTGATTCTGAGAAATAATGGATTCAAACACAAGAAAGAAAGAAAGAAAGAATGGATTCAGGAAAAGGCAAATGAAGTCGAAAAGGAGAGTTCACCCAGCAAGATACATTTAACCTCCTAAGTCTGTGGTTTCATGACATCATACTTACCAAATATAAGATGTAACTGCAGCGACCTGCAGATGCTGTCCAGCAGAATCACTGACTGGTCGGCTACAATAATAAACCCATCACTTAAGCCGCAAGCTTGTATCTTGGGGTTTAGGGAGGCCTGCGGAAGAGCAATGATTAGCAATGAAAACATCCGTCTACACATCTAATGATACTTATCAGTAGGATCTCCACAGTTCCAAGCACCCAAGTTTAAAGCTGCACTCAACTTGAGATGCCTTGGTTCCTTTGAGCCAGGAGTCCTCAAACTACGGCCCGCGGGCCACATCCGGCCTGCCAAGGACATTTATCCGGCCTGCCGAGTGTTTTTGCTGCCGCTGCCTGTCCTACTTCAAAATAAAATATGTGCAGTGTGCATAGGAATTTGTTCATAGTTTTTTTTTAAACTATAGTCCGGCCTTCCAACAGTCTGAGGGACAGTGAACTTGCCCCCTATTTAAAAAGTTTAAGGACCCTTGCTTTAAGCCACCTATCTACTCTGTCATGAAGCTGTTCTGTGTATGTCTTGAAACCAGGGTCCTCAGTGAGAAAACAGGATAGGAGGCTAAGAAATGGCAAATGATTCCTCGTACTGGCCTTTGCTTGCTTGCTTCCTCTGGGTTGACCTTACACCTGTTTGAGCCAGGAGTGAACATAAATGAAGCGAGACTGCCACAAAGGTTCAGTGTTTGCACCACATCCAGGAGGGGGTAGTGGTGAACTAAACTGTAGGGTACAGGACATAAACTAAAGATACCAGAATTGACTAAGACCAATGGAAAGGCTACCCTGGCACAGCCACACTGTCCTGATTATTAAGAAAAGTTGGATCTTTTTGTGAAATGTTCTGTTTTGTTGTTTTTAATACACTGGCAGCAAACTCAGTATGTTTTGGGTTTTTTAAATATTATGTAAGTTAAACAGTTGTCAAGGGTTTTATTCCACCTGGATCCACAGTTAACACTCATGGTAGCAGCAGCTAGGAAAGCAAATAATTTATCGCACTGGGCAAAAGAGCTCTTCAAAAGTGTCAAAAAAGCAAAGATGTCACTTTGAAAACTAAGGTGCACCTGACCCTGGACCATGAAAAAGGGCGATCAGAGAAGAACTAATGCCCTCAAATTATGCTGTTTGCCGAGACTGCCAGAATGAACAGGTTTGTCTTGGAAGAAGTACTGCTTGAATGCTCCTCAGAAGAGCCTGTCTCACCTACTGACACACATCATCAGGAAGGACGAGGCCTTGGAGAAGCACATCAAGCTTGACAGAGGGTCAGCGAAAAAGAAGATGACCCTCACCTAGATGGACTGACACAGCGGCTGCAACAATGGGCTGAAACTCAGACACAAATGTGAGGGTGGTTACAGGGCCAGGAGGTGTGTCATTAGGTCACTAGGAGCATGACGTGATGCCACGGCACCTAAGGACGACGACAAGAAGCTAAAGAGGAGGCTCCAGGTTTTAGCTTCTGTTGTGACTGATTTCACTCAACATAATCCAGATTCACCCATGTTGTAACATACATCAGGACTTCGTTCCTCTGCATGGCACAGTAATACTCCATTACCTATAATAGCTTATTTAGTTACTTATTTAACTAAATCATTTTACTGGGGGCTCTTACATATATCATAACATCTGTTGACACAAGCAGACATGGATAATTATTGGCATCCACTATTTGTAAACTTTTTCTTTCTTCTTAATCCCTTTGATGTCAGCTCCTCTTCCCCCCCCTACACACACCTGTGAACCCTTCATACATTATTATTATTATTTATAACAGCTTATTTTTTTATACACACTACACCCCCTAATGCCTACAGAAAGCTATGAGGACTTTAGCTTTAGAAATATTGAAGCTAATAGGATGTGGGGTAAACTGGCATGGAAATTTTTTATAATCTGAAACTATCCCAAATATCCAAATCCAGACATCCAATCACTTCTGACTCATACACATTTACAATCTATAAAGACTGTAAATCTTTACAGGAACAGCCAAGTCATCTTTCTCCCTAGGAGTGGCTGGTGGGTTTGAACCACTGACCTTGTGGTAAGCAGCCCAACATCCAACCCACAGCATCACCAAGGCTCTAATTTAACATTTTATATATTTTTTTCCTACTTTAAATATATATTTATTTATACCTATAGTTAGAGGGAGATAAAGTGCTATATTGATTCACAAACTTCATGAGCCTAAGAGGCCGATGAAGCGTTGTACATAATTCTGTGGGTGCTAACGATAGCCATCGGAGTCATTACCTTCTCAGAGGAGATCTTCACGAGCAGATCTACTTGATACAAAGCTGTCCCGTGCTCTTTTCTGGAATCAACACTTAGGTACCCACTTCCAGTGTCATCACTGGTTAGCAGCTCAATATCATTCCACATGTCCGGAGACAGGCTCCCTGAGTCAGGAGCAGCTTGCTTTCCCTGTGATGACAATGTTAAATCAGAGCAAATTCTCTCACTGTACAGCATCCACTCACCAGCCATTAAACAAAAAATGCTAAGAAAACATCAACAAAAACGTGTCTGTGTTTTACTTCTGTGGTCACTAGAAATGATGGGTCAATAAGATGGAAAGAACCAGAGCCATGATTTTCAGCAGAAAACAACATACTAGCTTCAGGCAAGCAAACCAACCATTCAGATCTCAACAGTGTATCCCAGGGCTTCTGGTACTTTGGAGGATGTGAAATTTTATCAAGTATTTCTTTGTAACTTTTAATCAGCACCATGAGACATAATGTAAACTTCACTGTCAGACGGTCTGGGATATCTCTGGGTTGTAAATTCTAGATGAATTTATTAAAAGGGCAAGAATGTTTCCACAGGGTTGCTATACAATGTACTAAAATGACAAAGGGAGAGAGAAAAACTATTTGCTCTGAGCAATTAAGAAGCACACTTGCAATTCAAGGTAAGGCCCTTAATACGAAGATGAGCAACAATCACTGGGTCAAGTTCAGGCTACCTTGGGTGGCACAAGCATTAAGCACTCTCTCTACTAACCTGCAGACTCAGGGTGGGATTTCACCCAGAAGTTCCTGAGCAGAAAGGCCTGATAACCTGCTAAAGTCCCTCAAAACCAAACTCATTGCCACGTAGTTGATTCAGACTCATAACAACCCTGTAGGGCAGAGTATCCCAATGGGTTCCTTCGTTAGCTTCCCCAATAAACTCCATAATGGTGATACTATCTGATGGAACCCAGTAGGAAAAGAGGACAGGCACAGCTAGTGTCAGAACTGGTAAGAAGGTTGCAAGGTGAGGGCATATCTGACTTTTCTGGGTCTCACTTCCCACATCTATAAAATAAAAACCTACCATGACCAACTTCCTAAGGCTCAACAAATGTATTTTGAGTTTCTAATCCTAGGCGCGATTATTGCTGATTGAATTAAAAAAAAAAAAGAAATGTACATTCTTGTGGGAAGATCAGATAAAAAGAAAATAGTTAACACTCATTGAGCATTTCTTGCAAGCTAGGAAAAGTTGTGAGTGCTTTACAGATTCCATCTTCACAAGAACTCATTTTACAGCTGAAGAGAATGAGTCAAGGATGAAAGGAACGACCAAGGCCACCCAGAGCTTTTAAGAAGGGTCACATTTTTCTCCTCATGACAAACCAAATCAATGCACAGATACAAAGCTCACATTAGAGGACTGGAAAGTGGGGCTCTTAAAGGGGATCTGTATTTGGGAAAGGAAGAGGTGACAAGGATGACAAGAAGCCAAGCATGCTGTAGCAGAGATACAGGCCTGGGCACTGGGTGCACTGACTAGATGCTAAAGGTTCAGCGTGGAAGAAGATAGGGGAGAAGGGATGGAAGGGGCCAAATGAAAAGGAAGCTTCAAGATTGGGTTTTATTCTCAGAGCAAGGTAAGGGTGACGGGATTCGATTAATGTTTCCAGAACACTTTGGCTGCTGCGTGGAGATTAAAGAACATGAGATAATAAACGAGATTAAATTTTTCTTCAGTTAAACCTCCACCAATAAACGATCCCAGCTGGGCACCAATCTCTCCCGCCAACGTCTGGATGGAAAATATCTCCGAACTAAGTAGCGGCTGATAATACTTCGAGCTGAACCCACAACCCCAATCCCCGCTCCCTTCAATAGTATGGCTGCCCCTCCTCACCTGCAATTGAGGAAACTAAAGAGGAACCCTCAAAGGTCGCGGAACTCTTCCCGATTTATGCAACCGCCCCTAACCTAAGGGTCCATCTGATTTAAATTGGCGGGAGACCTCCAAACCCAACCCCTCCTACGGTGGCCGGTGGAAGCCAAAAGTGTTCGGAGTCGAAGCAGGAGGTCCAGCCACCCTAAACTCCACCCATTCCGCGCTAGAGCCTGCGCATTCTAAGGCTTATGCTTGGCCCTACCTCCTACCCCGGTTTTGCCCGCCCCTTCGAAAGCACAACCAATTACGGACTGGATCCGCGTTGCTATAGAAACCTGTATCTCCACCCCCTCTTCCCCCAGCATGCTTTGCGATGCAGTGGGCCTCTTCGCCTTTGTGCCATCCGGGTCTCTCGCGCTAGCGATTTAGTCATTCGGTGGCGGAGCTCCAGAGCGGCCGGTACTGTTGGAAGCGGCTGGTGGAGTTGCCGCCCTTGCGGCCGGGACTCTAGACTATGGCGGTAGGTGCTGAGTCCGATTTTCTGACCAGGGATCTTTTTCTGCGGCCCTCCCAGCAGTCGGTGAACGGCTCTCGGAGCTGTTTTCCGTGCGTGTGTGGACAAAATGGCGCCGCGGCCTTCTTCTGTGCCCGCCATCATGGCCGCCTGCTGCCGGGAGGGGGAAGTAAGGCGGTGCCGCTGGGGGTAGGGAACCTTAGGAGTGCCCTTTTTTTTTTTTCCAGAACTTTCCTCATCCTTTTCGGCCGACTAACATGCCTCAGGTGTCGCTGGCTTGCTTACCTGGGCTCGTGATTCACCCTTAGCCTACTCGGGAGTTTATGATGCTCGGGCTGGAAAAGGCTCGGCACAGGGAGAGAAAAGGAATCGAGAAATTTTTGAAAAATGCTGGGTGTAGTAAGAAAGATGGGTTATGAGAGAAGAACTGCCTTGGGAGAGTTTTCTTTTTTTATTGACCTGGGTTAGATGAGGTTATTCTAATTGCATAATTAGAATTCGTTTTCCATCTTCATAAACCTTAGTTTATTTCTTAGTTAGGACCTCTTTGGAGGGATGTACTACGGAAAAGAGGGAAAATTGTACTTCTCAAGAGGTTTTGGAATTATGAATTCTGACTGATGCTCCGTTTCCGAGGCGGCTCGTGATGTAATCTTAGTTTGAAGTCTTTGAGGCATAATCTAGTTCTGCCGCTGATGGTGTTTCAGCCGAAATCATAATTACAGTTCTTAAATTACTTCTGAACAATAAGCCTGTGAGTTCCGGATGAGATGTCGCATTGTTGTGATTACTTCATTTTTGTTTTATTCTAAAAAATGTGAGCATTTTGCATTCCTTTGCACTGACAAGTCATCTGTTTCTCATTTTGGCAAATAAATTGGACCGTTAAAAGTAATGGAAAAATTAAAAGTTTACTCTTTATAGTAGTCGGGATATTTGGACTTTTAAAAGACGAGATTGCTTTCTTTGGGGGTGGTTTTAGGGACCCCCTCCCCCCCTCCGTGCTGCTTCAAACAATTGGTAGGTTATTTGGAATTTGTGGGTCAAGTGAATGTGTAGCATTTTCCTTTTGAGAAGTATTTTAAGCCTCTTGATACATATTTTTAATAGTTTTATTGACACTTCATGTACATGTCATGTAATCCAATAATTCAGTCCTATCAAGGGGAATTGTACAATCATTAACACAATCCATTTTAGAATATTCTTCTGTGTATTCAATTATTCGTGTGGTTACTTAGTACCCTTTAATGATTAATATTGTTTGACTTGGGCGTACATTTTTAAACACTGAAATCATTGCAAACATTTATTTTTGTTTCTGCAGTACTTCCTTCAATAGAAAGAGGAGATCCCCTGAAGAAGTGATTTAGTATTGAATGCTTACCTTCTCTGCTGGGAAAAAGTTGTATAGACTGTTGTCTTTATGGGCATCTTCAGCGCTTTCAATAATGTCGTTATAAGTAACAAAAATGGCTACTCTTTTAGCACAAGTAATTAAGATACTCAATACCATTTAGTAGATTCCGACTGTCTGTCTCTACTAAACTGAAATAAAGCCACACTCAAATGTTAAACATTGTTATATTTTCATCCATAGGATTTTTATTTCCCCCTAGATCCCTCTTTAAACTACCAGCCTGTTTGTTTGGGTCTTATTTAAACTAAAAAGGCTGTTTGGTCTTCATTTATATTTCTAGTCTGCCTTTCCTATTTCCTACAAGAGTGTAGGTAGACAATTGCCAGGGGAAAGCATCTGCCTGCCTGAGCTAAGCAGCTAGAAAGGCGGGTTCAGGTTCCGGTGACTTTTTTGTGTAGGAGTTTCCCAATGTTTGAGGAACGCAATCTCTGATTGAAGGTTGCTTTGCAGTGAGACGGGCTGGCTGTGCTGAAAGCTTGTGTGATCTCTTTAATTTTACCAATTGAAAGTTGTACCCATACTTGTACCTCACTGACATGTCAGAAATAGCCCTTACAGATTATTATAAAACCAAGTATAAAAGTAACATTTAACATTATCAATGAGAACCACAATCACCCATCATAATATCCATTTAGGCAAACCAGTTAATGTTAGATCTCATCTGTAAAATGTAAACATTTAACTCAGACATGATAAGAGGCTGAAAACCTTATTTTTATTGTTAATTTATTTTATGTAGGAGAACCTCATTCACTGTCAGGGTACTTCCTCTTACAAAAGACTTAGGCACCAGTTGTAAATAGTTAGGCCCACACAGTCTTTGTCACATTCTTTGCTTGCTTGTGTTTTAGGAGGCCATTTTTCAAAAAACCATTCTTACCTACAAGGCCCTACCAGTTACCAGCCTGTCCTGAGGAATCTCCCTGTTTTGCTGAAGCTGCCCGCCCCTCTTTTGTTTTTGGAGGGGGGTGCGGGGGCATGGTTTAACCAACTATTTTAAATTGTAAATTAGTTGCCTCCTTTATCAAAATCTGGCTCAAAGGAACTTTCTTGTTCTAGTGTACCCAGGTTTGAAGCTCATGTAAGATACCAACCTAAATCCATGTCTCCCTTTAAGGTCCTCCTCTCTGTAAGTTGAACCACATAGTTAAATGAACCCATGGAGATCCATTTCTAATGAAAAAATGATCAATGAAATTCCTTGGATATGTCATTTTTGTGCAGTGTTCTCCATTACAAGCAAGCTGGATTGAGCTGCTTTCTGTGAACTGGAAAGCAACTGATAATTAGATGAAGGAACTTAGTCTTAAGTTTGGTTCCCAAGAAAAAAAGGATTTTGTAATTTTTAAAGAAAAACATGTTTTGGTAGTCCACAGCACATAAGCTGTATGAGGCCACATTGGAAACAATCCAAATGCAATGAAAGATTTTAATTATTTTCTTTTTAAACTTTCAGGCTAGTGACACAGAACGAGATGGACTAGCCCCAGAAAAGATGTCCCCAGATAGAGACAAGAAAAAAGAGCAGTCAGATACATCTGTTTCTCCTAGAGCCTCAAAGCATCATTATTCAAGATCACGATCAAGGTCAAGAGAAAGAAAACGGAAGTCAGGTATGAGTGTTGGCGTGGTAATTACTGTCATTTGTTAATATCCATGTAGAAGCGTATCTTAAGACAATATTTTCGAAAGATTAATGTATGTGTTCTTTCCGGTTGAGAAATAGACAGTGTATATGCCATCTTCTAGAGAATTTAATTTTGAGAAAGGTAACTATCTTAATATAAAAGTTGTACATAACTTTCTGAAAGTAAAAAATGGTTCAGGTTTGGATCACAATTTTTTAAAATTCACTGCCATTGAGTGGATTGTGTTTCCATCTATGACAAGGTAGAACTGCCCCCTGTAGATTGCCGAGACTCACTCTACCGGGAAGTAGAAAGCCTCACTTTTTCCCTGCCATGCCACTGGAGTTTTCCAACTGTTGACCTTATGTTTAGCACCCTAACTCCTAATCCGCTATGCCACCAGAGCATAATTGCTATGTATTAAATTTCACTTTTTCTGCATTGGCAAAATAAGAGTCTTAAAGATACATCTAGATCAATGTTTCCAAAGTAATGTAACCACTCCATGAGGGACACTGGAATGATTCGACGGGGGCTACAAAAGCAGATGCTACACTTTATTCTGGATTGTGGGCTATATCGTTAACGCCAACATTTTTAATGGTTAGCAACAAGCCAAGTAAGTTTGTGTCTAGACAGTACTATTTCTGAAGCAAGAGGCTTAGAATTTTAAAATGCTCCACGGTCACTTTTTTTAAAGATCCAGTAGAACTTGTGGGTAGTGAATACTATACAACTGTGCTTTTTAAAAAAATATTGTTGCTATTGCACAATAGTGCTTAATAGCAAAGTCGTAAAACCTTGATTGTAGTCATGTATCCTTTGCATGTATAGCTGATCGCTACAAAATAAGTCAGATACAATTTTGTGTACAGCCCATCTCCAGTCGCAAGCGTCCAACATAAGGGATATTGATTATGATATTTTAGATTGGTGATCTGTTTCTTTTATGTATACTAAAATTAGTCCTATTGTCCAAAAAAATGGAAGATGACCAGTGGAGTGTGTAGTTATCCATTGGCATGAAACAGAAGTACAAGTGTATGTTGCTTAATGTCCCCGATATGTTCTATAAAATGCAAAATCCTTAGTCATTTTACTGCAGAAACAACTGACCGGATGCAAAAGGAATAATAGGATGTGGGAGTAAAGCGCCCCAAGACTGGGTCTTCTACCTTACCTGCCTGCATCTATTCCACAGTCTAATTCTGTAAAAATCTGACTTTGGGGTCTTTAAAACCATTTGGGAGAGAAGGAAAAAGCTGTTTCCCCCTTTAAAACAAAAAACATTTAAGGGGCCATGGGCACCTCTGAATTGGGAGGTTGTCCAAATTCACATTTAGTGACGTGCATGTATTTTAGTTTATTTAGTGAGCAGAGTGTTCGTTTATGTTTGCTTATAACAAATTCTTTCCTGAATTTACAGAAAATGAAGGAAGAAAACACAGGAGCCGGAGCAGAAGCAAAGAGGTAATTAATGCTTTGTAGTGAATAGGTACTATAAAATACTTATAACGTATCTGGTAGAAATGTTTGTGTGAATATATGGTATTGTGAAGGTAAGTACCAAAGCTTAAAATTGTAAAGGTTAATTGGATTATAAAATAAGCATGATTCATCTTTTTTTTTTTTTTTCAAGAAGATAGTTGTTTGTATGAAAATTACATTCAGAAACTATTAATTTTATTATGCTGTGACAGTATTCACAGTAAAAATTGCATTTGAAGAATATAATTGGTTTTTTAGGCCTGTCACACAGAGCTTCCATTAATGAGGTCCCAAGTCTTCTCGTGCCAGATCACCACTCCATATGTTAAATGACTATCATCTTTAAGGAGCAGTTCCCAGTTTTTTTAATGGAAGATAATGAGAGTCCTCTCTTCTTTAGTGCACTAGTCTGATTTCCCAGGTGGTGGTAGGAGTGGGACAATGAGGGAAGCTCGTGGTAGTGGAGAAAGAGAGGCAGCAGCTGGACTGCAGAGGAGCTAACTGTTCACCCACCTGAGAAGATGAGAAACAAACCATCAAGGCAGAGCAGACTTAGCTAAAAAGGGAGGAAAAGATTCTTACGGGGGCTGGGCAAGGGACTCCTAATCCAAATGTGGGCAGGGACTTCCTCTTCCCCTAATGGAAGCTCTGTTAAAATTTTAATTTAGGAGAGTTTTTGTGAAAATGACTATTTTGTTTAGCTCACATGATAACATTTCTATAATAAATCATACTCAGCGTGCTAATGCGCGAAGAGACTGAACTGAAGACGCTGCAGACTCAGATAGCAAAATAATAAGCCTACTTCATGATAAGGTAACTATTAGTCATTCAAACTCCTATTTCCCTTAAATGTATCTTAAATCAGTTAAGGGTTTTAATAATGTTTTTGGTGTTTTGTTTTGCTTTTAAAATTTTTAATAGTAATGTTAAGTTTGGAGAACAAATTAAATGTGAATTCTAAAACCTTTGGAAGTTAACCACTTAACACTTTTCCACTTTGCTATTTTATACTGCAAAGGCAGTACAGTCCAACTTGTATTTGATTATTTTATAGAGAACTGGCAATAAAACCTTGCTCTATCCAGGTCTCTTTTTTTCTCCAGAATAATAAATTAACTTAGAATAAACATTTGCAATTAATATCATCATGCATGTTCCAACATGATCTGACAAAATATTTTTTGTTGTTATTTTTTTAAAAAAACAATCTTGTGGGGGGAAAACTGACCTATCTTGGGAAGCTTGAGGGGAAAAGGTGTCCTAGATTGTGGTGGGAATCCTAAGAACATGGGGCCTTAGCCCAGCTACCCTGCTTTGCAGCTTTGTGGTTTCAGATCTCTAAAGTTGCCTGTCAAAGAAGTTGAACTAAAGGAAATCTTAGACTTAACACTTCCTAAGGGGTCAACATGCAATATATATCGACTCGGGGTTATTGGGTTTTTCATATAAGCAATACGATGGAGACTTTAATCATCTGTATTTGAGCTGAGTCTCTGTATATGTTTGAGATAGCCTTGGTTACTATGAAGGAAGTATGCGTTGTATGATGGCAGAGCGAATGTTAAACTTAGTTTGAAAGCAAATTCAGTTACCTTTTTCTACCCTAGGTACCTGAGCCAAAATTAGAACTCCAACCCTGTTGGGATATGGCAAGATGAAAAAATGATTGATGCCTTCACAGTTTAGACCTTGGGAGAAAATCAAGAGCCCTTGTAGAAAGGATGTGGCAGTGTAGCTGTAAAAGGGACACTAACTGTATCCAATTACTTTGAACCTACAGATGAGTAATGCTTAGTTAAATTCTGCATAGCTTAATGTGAAGTGCATTTTCTTGTGCATTTCTCTATGTCCATATTATCTCCACCCTTTTTAAGCTTAAAATTATACATGCTCTGGGCTTAAAATTAATGTTTTTCTATGATCTGGTTCACTAAAAGGTTTGTTGGCCAAACATGAAAGTTTGGGTACATGTCTATTTCCTTAACAATGTGTTCTCTTGGTTTGGTTTTGTTGGGTTTTTTCCCCCTATATTACAACAGCCATGAAATTTATATAAATACTGGAAATAGTAATTTGGGGAGGAAACTGCTTTGGGGGTTTATAATGGATTGCAATTAGTACTGTGCATCTGCAACATTTGGGTGATGTGGAAACTAGATCATTTGTTTACTTGAACAACACACGCCTAAGGTTACTAATGTTGCATCACAACATTTTTGCTTACTGGTACCCATACTAACTCTCTTTGTTGCACTATTTTCCTGAAAGAACGAACTTCTTCTTAAAACAGGCAAGAAGACATGAATCCAAAGATAAGTCCTCTAAGAAACACAAGTCTGAGGAGCATAATGACAAAGAACATGCTTCTGATAAAGGAAGAGAGCGACTGAATTCATCTGAAAATGGTGAGGACAGACACAAACGCAAAGAAAGAAAGTCTTCACGAGGAAGAAGCCACTCAAGATCTAGGTCCCGGGAGAGGTGAGTTGTCTGGGGTTACTTAGTGCTTTAAAGAGCTATGGTACACAAACTGCTCGTTGGCCCAGTGGTGCAAAACAGTCATGATTTCTAAAATAGATGGGTTTGTTTTCTTGTCTTTTGCCTTTGCCAATCAATACCCAATAATAGCTGAAGCCCTCTGGTCTTCATTTTCTGATACATGCCGAAATGGCCTCCCAAGATGAGAGGATAAGGACTGATGATGATTAGCACACTTAATTAGTGTCTATGATTCTTTTACTTCCACGTCTGTCTCTTGGGTGGGGTGGGCTTAGGGAGAGAGAGATATTGCTGAATTCTGTTGATAATGGTTTAAGCCAGTATAAAAATACTCTTGTTGGTGTAGTTTGAATATATTATACCAAGATTGATATATTATCTTAATCTAAGTTTTCTGTTGTCTCGAACTTAGAGGGATTGTAGGGTGGCGTTTTATTTTAAGAAACCAGTGTTTAGTATATTGTATAATTCTATGGGGAATATACGTAGAATATAGTATCAAAATCAAACCTTTCCACTGGTAAAGGAACTTGATTTAATATTATCCTTAAGGGAATAATCAAAAACGCGCTGTCATCCAGTCAATTCCAACTCATAGCAATCATGTAAGACAACGTAGAACTGCCCTTTAGGTTTCCAAGGCTGTGCCTGTTTCACAATACGAAGCTCACATCTTTGTCCCATAGAGTTGACTGGTGGTTTTGAATTGCCAGCATTGTGGTTAGCCAGACCAAAGCATAGCCACTATGCCACCAGGACTCCTCATTTATAAATCAATGGCTAATTACAGTTTGCAGCCTTGCAAACCTGTGGGGTAGTTCTCCATAGAATCACTATGAGTCCAAATAAACTCGGATGTCCATCACTAACAGCAAAAATCACAAAGGTTGAATGGCTTCTTTGAATTGCAGCATTCACTGTAAATGATGTAGTAATAATGGGTGACTGAAGAGCTCTGAGTAACTAAATGTACACTTTACTTTCAGGCGTCACCGGAGTAGAAGCAGGGACCGGAAGAAGTCTCGCTCCAGAAGCAGGGACCGGAAGAAGTCTCGCTCCAGAAGCAGGGACCGGAAGAAGTCACGCTCCAGAAGCAGGGACCGGAAGCGGCGGGTCAGATCCCGTTCCCGCTCCAGGTCGAGACATCGGCATCGGAGTAGAAGCAGAAGCAGGACAAGAAGCAGAAGTCGGTACGTGCTCATCGTCCTGAACAACATGGGTGCTGTAGCTTTGGCACGCCTTGGTTTTGTGAGTGTTCTGTTTGGTGTACGCTAAGATTGGTTTCTCATATCAGCAGTCAGGATAATGAAATTTGCTGTGGGATTCAGAATTGTGTTTACAAATTAGATTTTAGTCATTGTTGACTAATAAATACAATTAAACACCTATTTAGCATTCTCACATATTCTTGTGCATTGCATTTTCCTGTGAAGTGCTATGCAGGCATAGGGTAGTTCCATTAAAAAATTTTTCATCTCTTTTGGGTACCTGGATTCATGGCACTAACCTTAAAATCAGAGTAGCTAGGATTACATATCTACTATGGATTATACCAAAGCTCTTGGCACGTATTTACTCATGCAATCCTTATAACAACCATATTGTAATAGAAATCATCTTCCAGACTTCAAATACATACACATACCCATCATGGATACTCATGTCTAATATATAATCCACATCTACATGTTAATATTAAATATCACCGCTGCTTCCTTAATTTATTGTACTCAAGTTTACTAAGATTAAAACATCACTTATGTGACCCTTAATAAATTCATTAAGTTTTTAGTTAGGATTTTTGTTTATAGTAAGTTTATTGACTTGCAATTGAGATGAGTGAATTTAAAGTAAACGAGGCATTTGTTAATTTCCTGTTTCTTTTATTGTGGTTAATTGCCTTATTTTTCCTTTTCATTTATAAAAGCAGTATAAATAAAACATTCAGAATTTTGACCTTTTAACTCACTTCTGGAGACTTATTCTATTATACAAATACAGAATGATTTGTGCACAAGGATTGTCTGTGAAACCTAGATTGTAATGTGCACAAAGGAAACGTTGTAAGTGCTGTAATGGAAATAAGCTGTTGGCCAAATAGGAAAGACGGTGTCAGTGGAAGAATTCTTACTTGGTCATAATCAGACATGCAAGGTGTTTTCTTTTCTTTTTTTCAGAGAGAGGAAGAAGCGAATTGAGAAACCAAGAAGATTTAGCAGAAGTTTAAGTCGGACTCCTAGCCCCCCTCCCTTTAGAGGCAGAAACACAGCAATGGATGCACAGGAAGCTTTAGCCAGGAGGTATGTATGGTTTTCTCTTACTGCTCATTTTTTCTTTGCAACGTGGAATAAATAAAACTTTGGGCAAAATGAATGCTTTGGGTCAGGATTTTTTAAAAAGAAATTTCAGTGAAGCCAGAAATGTTATAAAACCTTTGGATCCTAAGTGCTCCAGAATGGTCTGTTCTCAAACACGTGATTGCACAACTGTAACTACTGAAAGACTAAAGAATCAGCAGTTTTTTTGCTTTCATTCACAGCTGACTGTTGGTCTATTTTTAGGGGGTTTTTTCCTCAAAAGTATGCTCCTAGGTATGTTAATTTTTCATGAAACTTTTGGGTCTTAAATTTGGTTTAGAAAAATCTCTGTTTTGCCTTTACTTAGTCATGTTTCTCCCAGGAACAAAGAACTACCTCCAACATAAATGAAACTTTATCGACCCTTTTCTTAATTTGGAGGTGGCATGTCGATTTATATCATTTAGACCCGATGTAAATCACCTTGGAAATTTTACTCCTTATTAACGGGGAGAACCCTGTGATTTTTAAATTGTTTCTAATGATGCTAAATTGTGTGTGGGGTCCACACACAGAAGGGCAAACTAAAATGTGGGGAGGTGAGGTGTAAAATGACACCCAGGCACCTGTTAGTGAGTTTGCGTTTTTATTTATTTATTTTTTCATTACAAAAATACAGTTATCACAATGTAACCTGATGTGCTGTTGCCCTGTGACCCAGCCTGGCAGACACTCCAGCTGAACGGCAGCAGCAAAGGTGTGAGCTCACCCCTTCTTTCGCTCCATTCACCAGAATGAATGGTGTTCATTCCAAACTATCAGTGGCCATGTGAACACCTAATTGGCTTGTTTGGAACCTATAACTAAACCAAGAGGCAGTTATTTAAACAAAACAAGGGTATACCGCATGGTTTAAAATCAGGGAATTATATCTTTCTGCCTTGTTTAATTCAGTCTCTGCTGAACAAATAAGCCCGGACTGGGAACTACGAAGAAGGCCATAACATCAAAATTGGACATTTTTTTTTTTAAACCCTCATTAACAACCCTGCTTGCTCAAAATAAAGAGAACTTGGAGCACTTAGTTGAGATCAAAGACCTTCAATATGATTTACACCTCAATGGAAAAAATTCTCACAGACCAGTTAGCTACATCATGACAAGCAGAGGAAAGATCAAAATTGTCAAGTTTTATTTTTCCCCTTATATTTACACTCTGTACCCTTATGTGTTGCACTGGGAATATCTACTGCACGAGATTTATTTAAAATGTTATGTAGCATAGGATGACCCTTTGAGGGTTAAGATATGACTGACCCAACCTGTACTTTTCAGTCGTGTATGCATGGAAAGATTGGACAAAGAAAAGTTGGACTGAAGAAGAATTGATCTATTTGAGTTATGGTGTTGGCTAAGAAAGTACTGTGGACTGCCAGAAGAAAAATTACTGTCTTAGAAGCCAGAATGGAATTGTGTGGACTTTGAACATGTTCTCTATGAGGAGGAACCAAACCCTACAGAAAGAGCCCCTGCTGCACAGAAAGGGATAGGGAGGAAAGAGGAAGACCCTCACTGAGATGCATTGACCAAGTGCTTTAACAGTGACCTCTGCGGGGAACAAGGCACTGCCCTGGGCTGTGTCATTGTGTGTTCCAGAGAGTTAACTGTGAGTCAGAATTGACTTGATGACATCTCTGCAGTGACCGTTTTAATACACACAGTGGACACTCCTCTCTCTGAACACAAATCAATAGGGATAGGAAATAATTTATTATTAAGTCTCAACTAATATATAATTAATTGGGCTCTGGTAAGGATTGTTAAGCCCAAAAGCTTACTCATTTACCAAGTCTTTTAATTTTCAAATCTTCATAAATTGAAGCTGTCACTAGCATTTTTAAAGTGTTAGTTTAAGAAGACTACTTGGTGATCTTTCAGATGACAAATTTACATGTGATCCAATTTTAGAATACCAGATTGATTGTTTGGCTGTCTTGAAACTTTCAAAATAAGGAATCTATAGTGGGTAGAATGTTTTTGTTTTTCTTTTCAAATGGGAGCAAATTTTAAAATGCTGATTTAAAAGTTTTTTATCAGTGAGCCTACATTTTATTGTAACTTCTGATTAGAAACTTTCATTCTGAAGGGCAAAAGTTACATCTAGTCTGTACCTTGCATGTGCCCTCCATAAATAAACAGATGTCTATAATTCACTATCCCCAAATTTTAATATGTGTAGCCCATCCTTCTCTTTATACCATAATAAAGGGAGTGGAGATATTTTAAGATTGTTTAATCAAGGTCTTATCAAGCAGGAGTTTCTCATCTTAAAGATCAAGTTGAGATCTCAATTCTTAACAAGATTTAGTTTTCCGTTTCCTCTTATAATCAGCACTGAGGATTTTTTTGCTCAGTTTTTAGAAACTACAAATTTAAAAAAATTTAAGTTTTCATTTTGTCAATTCTTTGGAGTTCTTGAAATGTTATTCAGCTGATACCCTTGTAGCAAGTATTTGCTTACTTTCCAATGGATGTCAGTTTTAGGGAGTGGTAAACCTGTATGTTTTATATAAAGGGATTTTAAATGCACATAATTTGGTTTTTGCTGTCATCTTGACATTTATTTAAATTGTTGACAGGTTAGAAAGGGCAAAGAAACTGCAGGAACAGCGTGAAAAAGAAATGGTTGAGAAACAGAAACAACAGGAAATTGCTGCAGGTAACGAATTTTCTTTATAAGGTTCTTTGTAGAAATGTTGAAAAATGCAAAAAATTAAAAGGAAGGAAATCAAACATTTTGAGTGTTACTTTTCAGCTTCATAAAATTGTATATATATTTATATGATCTGCAGGTGTAGGGTTTTTTTACATGTGAATGCTGGCTGTTATGTTTGTACTATTCATTGCAAGCATCTTGTAGTTGAGGTTATGGAAATAGTTTAAAATTGGTGAGTTCACATGGAATGATAAACCTTTTACATTAAGTCGCGTTTCTTAGATGCTGAATACATATTGGATAATTTTGAGGGTGTTTCTTGACATTGACAAACATTAAAAGTTGCCATTCACAATTTAATTTTAGACCTTTTTAAAGCTGTATTCTGGACTAGATATGCCATCAGAAAGTATGGGTCCATTCCTGACTCTGCCACTTTGCATGGACATTTCCAGGCTGACACTTTATCTTTATGATCCTCGGGGGTTGGTTTTGGTTTTTTTCATATATGAAATCTGCTTAATAGTTTCGAATGTTAAGAGTTTTGAGTGGTGTTTATCAAATCATTATGTGAGCCATAAGATTTGTGCAAATATGTACAGCTACAAAAATCATTCAGTGAAACCATGCCTTCGTAGAAACTTCATTGGCAGAAATGTACATCAATTTCATATACATCTTTTAAGATCTGTTATTGGGAATATATATAGTATGTATTTAGGTTAAATGTTATTGCTATATAAGCTTAATAACTATTCCCTTGTATTTTGTGAGCATAATTCTACTTTTTTGTAGCTTTGTCGATTTGGTGGGTTTAATTTTTGCCAGAAGATTAATTATGCCTTGATTGACATACTTCTCTTCAGCAGCTGCAGCTACCGGGGGTTCAGTTCTCAATGTTGCTGCCCTGTTGGCATCAGGCACACAAGTGACTCCTCAGATAGCTATGGCGGCTCAAATGGCAGCCTTGCAAGCAAAAGCTTTGGCAGAGACAGGAATAGCTGTGCCAAGCTATTACAACCCAGCCGCTGTGAACCCAATGAAGTTTGCAGAACAGGAGAAAAAACGGAAAATGCTTTGGCAAGGAAAGAAAGAAGGGGTGAGTTCTTTTCGTCCCTCTTAATAATGCTAAAGTAATTCATGTATAGTCTGAAGTCAAGCTTTCAAGGAAATCATTGTTGCCATCACTCATGGAAGGCAGAGAGTACTTAGCTTTGGTTTTCTGTTATTTACACTATATTGCAGGAAGGTTTTGACACCCCAATAAAATGTCAAATTTTTTATCCATCTTAACATTTTCTACTTCATTACAGGACAAATCCCAGTCGGCTGAAATATGGGAAAAATTGAATTTTGGGAACAAGGACCAAAATGTCAAATTTAGAAAATTAATGGGTATTAAGGTGAGTTTTACTTGGTTAAACTTTTTTTTCTTTAAGAATAACATTCATTCTTAATTGATAAAGATATTTTAGTGATATTCCAACTCAGTGATTTTCTGGTATCTGGATTGATTGCATAGGAAAGTTTTAAATGTTATTTTAAACGTGGTGAATAAATGTTTCTTAATTAAAATATAAATATGTAAGTAGTGTAATTAGATAATTCAGTCATCTGGAAGGGTTTACAAGAAGCTCGGGTCTATTTATTTCTAAGGTCTGGTTTTAACTGAAGGGATACTTGTCCCAAGTGGTGCACTCTGAAGAATCTTGTTCCTTCGAGTACCTGCCTCTTCTCTTACTTCTTACTCTTCCTCCCACTAACCTTTATTAAATAGCTACGCCTGCCTCCTGTTTCTGCCTTCCCTGAGACAATAATGATGCCTTTTGTTAACAACCTGCTCTGTCCTCATACTTAAAAGAACACTGTCTTCCACTCCACTTAGTAACTGAATAAATTAAATCTAGAAATTTTGGTTTCATAACTGTCAAATAGGAAAACATTTTTATTTTCTTATATTTTTAAAAATCTGATATTTAGAGTGAAGATGAAGCTGGGTGTAGCTCCGTTGATGAAGAAAGTTACAAGACTTTGAAGCAACAGGAAGAAGTATTTAGGAATCTAGATGCACAGTATGAAATGGCAAGATCACAAACCCACACACAAAGAGGAATGGGCTTGGGTTTCACATCTTCAATGCGAGGAATGGACGCCGTTTGAGAAAGCACCCTTGTACAGTTTGGAACTTTATAGACTTTTTGTTCTGAAGTCAGGTCCTTGTTCACCAAACAGCTAGCATTCTAGCTTGCATGGGTGTTGCATTGACTTTAATTTATTGAAAATCTACGATTTTTTTGTTGTTTTGTAAATATCAGATCAGTGATACTGGTGTTAGTGTTGTAATCAGGTTAAACCCACTTCCATTAAATTTGACAGGACTATAGAAGGACAATATTTTTTGAGTTCATGAATTCTACTTTTCAAATATATAAAAGCTGCAGGTGGGATAAAAGTCTCATCCATGGATTTTCTGTGTCCACTGTCTTGTGTACTTTTGTACTTAACCTTGTACAGTTATTTTCATCTCTTGAAACATGAAAGAAACGTTATGTAGCTGTTCTTTAGATGATCTGGCTATTTGGTACATAGGCCAGCACAAATAACGCTGGGTAGAGACAATAAAAATGGTTTTCTCAAAACTGGTGTTAAAATAACATGAAATTCTTGTATTTGTTGTATGGTTTCTATGTTTGGTAAAGTGTGTTAAGCATTTTGCAATTGGCTGTTAGAAAGTACTAACTAGAACTTCCCCAGCCTCCCCTTTTTAAAAAAAGAATTATGCTAGACAATGCCATAGTGAGCAGATATGTAGTAAGGTGGAAAGAAGCAAAAACTATTAGAATACTGTTCTATTATGTGGAACAGAATTGGTGTACAGTATTTGTTAACTATTCCATGTTACTAAAAAAATACATAAATGCATTAAAGGGATGTAAGCACTTTTATTTTAATAAAGTGCCTTATAACAAGTCATTTGTCCTCCCTTTAATTTTGAAGTAGAATATAAATTTTTTTGTGTTTTGATAATTGTTTAAAATTCTTTTTGCCAGAGCACAGTCATACAGAGAAGAAATATTTTATGGGCCTGTAATGCACTGGATACAAAGTTGCTCATGAACTTATATTTCTAGGGTGTTTTAAGATCTGGCCATGCATTGTGGTTTGTATTTATCGAGGGTAGCGCTGTTCAACAGAAATATGGAACAAAGCAAAAGTCAGGTGTGATGATGATTTTATCTAGTTAAACCTATGCAAAATGTTGCGACGTGCTGTTGGGGGGGAGGATAAATTTAATTTCTATACAATTTAGTGATAGTAATTTATCAAGTGTAACTTTTATTGCTATCTTTCCAAATTAGACTATAGTGTCACAGCATAAGCTCAGTCTTCCTCTAAGCCAAGGCCCTTACCTGCCTGATGTATACCAGCCAAGACTTCACTGCCATTGAATTTGATCAGTGATTCTGAGAGATCAGCTGTTCACAGATGTAAATCTTCATGGTAACATCTTTCTTAATACCTAGTGGATTAAAAAACCCGTTGTTAGTAAATGCTTTATACCACCAGGACTGCTACTACCTCTCCTAGCTACTAATGTTTTTCTATCAGATCATACATATTTGTCCTTTTGCAAGTTATTTTGCTCAGCATGTCTATTTTCTGTTTTAAAGTTCTCTTAAGGTACCACATTACCAGAATAGAACTTTGTTCCCAAACCTGATGCCTAACTATTGGTTCCCTAACTCAATTGAGTATTTAGTTAGGTCAGCCATTTCCTTAAGAGTCTAAGAAAACAATACAATCCTCTCATTCCCTATGTCCAGTCCATCGATTAGAACTGTTATTTCAAGTTCATCTTTTAAGTAGTAACATCCATAGGACCCCTGGTGCCATCGTGGGTTACCAGTTGGGCTGCCAACTATAGGTCATTGTTTGAACCCACTAGCCACTGAGGAAGAAAGGTGGAGCTGTAGGGTCGCTATGAGAATTGATTCAATGGCATTGAGTTTGGATTTGAATTTTAATAGGGTCTTCAGATGACAAATGCTTTGTGATTGACTACCAACAGGAGCCCTGGTGGTGCAGTGGATATGTATTAGGTTGCAATCCAAGAGGTCAGCGGTTCGGTACCACCAGTTGCTTCTCAGGAAGGAGGAAAGGCTTCTGCTGCAATTTTCAGGGTCAGTTCTACACTGGCAGAGTTGCTCTGAGTCAGCATGGACTGCATAGCAGTGATGTTGAGTAGACCTACACGTTATGATACCCGAGCCCAGATCGTGGAGCTACATGAAAGAGGCCAGGTGATTTTTCCATTTAGATTACAGCCAGGCAAAACCTTATAGAGCAGTTGTACTGTTATAGGGTCATCCAGCATCGAGAATCCACTGAGTGGCAATGGGTCATTTCTATTTACTTTTTTCCTGTTCACTCTACAAGCTAGCATTTATTGATAATGAAACAACTAAATTCTATCACATTAGTGTCACAGAATTTTTTTTTCCTCTATCTCCAGTCCTTTATGTCCCTGTAATGGGAACCAACCTCTCAAGATGCAAATATGTTCCTCAAGATGCAAACAGTCACACTTCCTGTTTAAATGGTTTCCTTTTATTATGGTGGGGTATGCAAATGCTCCAGCCTCATTTTGTTCCACTCTATTCCTCTTCCAATTTAACTATGTAACTTGTTTATTTTACAAGTATGATGAGTACCTATCAACATCCCAAGAGTGGCAAGATTGATAATATTTTACTGTTTCACAAAACTGGGTTTCTTGAAAGTAGTTTTTCCTGTTATAATCCTCAGGCCTTTGAGACAATGCCTGTTATATTGGCCATCCATTGCCATAGAGCCCGTGTGTACTTCGGGTGACCATACAGGACTGCACCACCCATAAATCTGTGGGAGCTGACAAGATAGCCTCAGCTCTCACAGTGGAGTGGCTTTGCTTGTACATGTGAAGTACTGACCTTGAGAGGTTAGCTGACCACCCCAGACAGTACCACGAGAGCTGGCATAGTGGAGATGGTGAATGAATTGGTGGCAGAATAGGAAAAGCCACAAATGCAAATCAGATATGTGGCTTTACATCAAAGTAGTGCAACAAATGAAAGGTGGTCAATCTTGAGTTTGCCTAAAACCGTTACTATTGTGTGGCGAAATCCTTTATTGTTGCTGGGTTGGTTTTTTTTTTAATTGGGAGCTTGTGCAACTCAAACCATACAACCGTTGGGTCGAGCACATTTGTGCATTTGTTGCTCTTTAGCACGTACACCAGAATTTGTGATGAACCATTCGTTGAGCTCTATTTTCAGCTTAGCTGCACAAGAGCGGCAACCAATATTGCATCTTCGCGTGCTAGTGAAGCCGTCTCCACGTTTAAAAAGGACCAATCGCAGTAGGCAATGTTCACGACGCCTTAACGATCACGTCGAAACCACCGCTCCCGGCATGCCGCGCGCCCGCGCCCTCTCGCAGCCGCGCAGGGAGATGC